TTTAAAAATAAAGTACGGTATCATTTAAAATTTTGTTTAAACTGTACAATCCCAAAATAATAAACCTGAAATAATTTACTATCCAATATAATTGTGTAAATTGTTTGATATGATTGAAATTAGCTAAGTAATGGATCCAAACACGTGTTTTTTTTGTTTTATTCACCCGGATGTAGTATTTTATTCAATTTACTATCAAATATTGTAAATGATAATGATTTATTATACAAAATACATGTTTAGATGTATAAAAAAGTCAAAAGATATATTTTACCAAGTTCACATATTGCATATTCTTAAGAAAAGATAAGTTTACTCCATAAGAGACTTTGCAAGGAGAGGACAGAAGAATAAAACATCTAGAACTGATCCATGTGAAGCTCTATCTATCATCTATTTGAAGCTTAGAACTGACCATGGTCTTATGTTGTGCTAACTTAACTGTACAAAATATTATTACAAACAATGTAGGCTATTTTAAAATTACTAAATATCCTTGGAAGTGGGGACCACCCTATTTTAGGTATTTCTCTATTACTCTGATTCTATATTTCACATTACTAAAACTCATGGTTAAACAATCATGCTGTGACATGAGGTAATTTAATGTGGTGCTTAATATTTTTTTTATGGACGTGTTTAATATTTACGTGTATAATACATATTGCAATGCTAGAAATAACATAATTTCCTAATTTACTTTTTCTGTTAATTCTCAACAAAATCTTTATGAAATAGTATATTTTTCTTTAGTTTGCAATTGAATCAAAGAACAGAATTATTTTTCCAATTCAGATTTATCGCAGTTTTTTTTCCAATATTACCAAAGATAAAATAATTCTTTCCAATACTAAACAATGATGAAGGAATTGAATTGGTTGGTTCTTAATCTTGCCCTTCAATTACCTAGTTTCAGTCAGTTTCTTTATTAAACTGTTAAAGCTTTTAACAAATTTAAATAAAATGTTTAAACTGTATTGAGTTTTTCCATATAGATTCAGTAGCAATAAAGTTGTTAATTTAATCGTACTAAATGATGTAGGTGTATGATACTCCATAAGTTACTAATTAGGCTATATTAAATTTGATAAGTATAATATATATATATATTTAATTGGTAATACATATTAAAATACGATACAAATGTTTGATGAATATAATATTGTAACAATAAATGAATCATTACTACAATCTAGAGCACCGTTATGAAAATGGACGCTGAACATCGTTATATTCACATTTAACTGACAAATTGCTTGTGTCTACATAACATGTTTTATTGACTAGTGATATTTCAATTATTCAAATCAAAATATTAGCGTTTTTAATTTTATCCCCCTTATGTCACTTTTCAACGTCTTATCGACCATATTTTAGCGAGAAAAGTTAAAATCGATGAATTATTTCTTTTTATTTCAGTCCTTTACTATTTGCTTCCTTTTCAATATTACACATAAAATATGTATCTGGATTGTTGCAAAAATGACTGTTTTTACTCACCAGCATATGCAATATATTATATTGTACTATTTAAATACAATCCAGGGCTAAAACAAATAGTAATACCCAAAAGAAGATTCCTCCCTTATACATTATCTCCGATATATTCTACACACGTTTTGTTTTCGTGTATTTGATTTCTCTTTTCCTTCATTGAACAATTTGTCATCGTTTTAATTTAAAAACAAAGGAGCTTAGGGTAAACTTCTTTTTGTGAAAAGCTTGGTTCTTGAGTATAAAAAGCTCTTCTCAACTTTTAACAGTATCTTCTCAGTATAAAAACTTATTTTGAGTTTGAAAACAAATTTGACACGTCACAACCCTCAATGTGTAAATATATTACACATTTACATCCCTTAGACATTTTATGTTTAATAGGAATTTCGTTCTTGTAGGTGATTGTTTTTTGAACCATTTTGGCAGTTTGGTGTCTTATAGTGTGTTGAACATCATCATCAACCTAAATCAGACTGAGAAGTGCGTCTAATTGTGTCTAGTTTTAGTTACATTCCTACATTATTATAAATATAAACGTGATAACTCTGTGCTTAGAATATGTGTTATCATTCAACAGTTTTTTGTTGTTAATTAATTTTGAACTAGCAGTTTGCCCGTTCCACTGATGCACATACGGCATCAATTTTGTATTTTCCAGATATGCAGGCAAAACAATTATAAACACATCCATCGTAAACACGATATTTAACAGTTGCTAGTCAAAACAAATACCTTTCAAATAACTGTAAAACGTCAATTTTCTTTTGCGATATTTTGCTTTAAAGTGTAAAATTTACCTTACATAAAACCTGTTTCACAGAAATTTGCCAGGGTACTGTGAGTTTTCTATGAGTAGGTAATTTCTATTATAAAGATTTTTGACTGAAAACTAATACAACACTTGATCATATTTCATCATATTTATTTATCTTATCTAGTTACTAATCTCATTAAAATATTATAATAATTCATGATTGTGACTATATTACGTAGTAATTATATCAACACTACATTAATTTACTATATTTCTTTCCCTAGTATAGTCCCTATACATGAAACAGTAGATTCAAAGCTGAAGGTTCGTTAAAGATGCAATTGAAGCTAAATTGTCTCAGACCGTCTGCTAATTTTAATTAAGACTTTACAAATTCCCGGGCGTAGCCTATTTAAATTACACTAACCCAAGTTCAAAGCTATCTAAGCTTATTTATTTCACCAAGCATTCCGGGAAAGTTATCTTCTAATCATCATTGTTGCAACCCATTTTATTTTTATTTTTTTTCAGGCCACAGACCTGAGTAGCCTGAAATAAACAGATCATTGACATTTATTTATGTAATATGCCAAACAAAATTTCAAATAGTATTCTTTGTAGTTTTTTGGTATTTTTTAAGCGTTATAGTAGCTAAAGAGTTAACATAGTTGATAAAATTTTTTTTTATAATATATTTGTCATAGACTTTAGTACAAATATTTCATGTTATCCCGAAATCCAGCGTTTGCTGTTTATGTTAAGCCTTTGATACTTAAATGTACAACAATTACTTCGCAAATTTGTGTATCAGAAATATAAATATCTTTAGTAATACCTAGAATTTTTTCCTGAATACAATTGACAATTATTGTTGTTTGCAAGTCGGATCGTTTCCGCAGAAACAAAAATTTCCTGTGAGAGCTTTTGAATGTTAAGTCAGATGTTAATAGTTTGCCACATGTTTGTAGAGGTCGATAAATATTTTAAATGTTAATCTCTTCCCAAGATCCACTGGTGGGTCGCGAACTAGTTGAGAACCAGTGCAGTAAATATTTATTTACGTATCCCTGTTATACTCTTTATCGGTTTAGTGGTTGAGAAGTGACATTGCCCCGCCTTCCCGAATGTCTCTGTTCTATTTTTTCGTAGACATGTTTGTCGTAGTGGCTGTGGTGCTGCCGGAAACCCGTGTTGAACTCTTAAGACATAGTTAAAATGTCTTAATGTCAAGTGTTCGGTAAAATTGAACATTTTATTTCATCCTCTTTGTTTTACTTAAAACTAACTCTCTTTCAGCAACATGTGTTTGTTTTCATATTAAATTATTCCTTATATATTGTTAACATATATATTGTTAACATATGTTGAATTCAAAATGTAAATAAAAACAGTGCTTGTTCTCCTATCTCAAATGTGTGTTCATTTTTTCTCCCTATCATAATCTCAATTTTAATATTTCCATTTCTCTACATTTCATACCTCTGGTCCTTCGAACTAATTCTCATTAAACCCTTTCTCATTTCTATTCCCCTTTCTCAATAATTCCCTAATATTTAATTTCATTCTCTACAAATCATTCATCAAGATGTTAAGATGTGTTAATGTCAATGTATATGTAGTAACATTAAATACTGCAAACAAACACTTGAAATACTCTAAGACTTTGTTTAAGGCTTCTATTATTCTCTTACTGGTATTTAAATTGTCGTTTCAAATTCTAAACTAAGGTGTCCGCAAGACAACAAATGGCATAGTCTTCTTTATGTTCTAGAGGCTATGTGATATGATTTACAAGAGTGTCAAGAGATTAGTTTTTATACTGAACCACATTTGTAATAGGTTTAAATAAAATAAACATGTTAAAACAAAATAACTATTTTGAATGTGTAGTTAAGCTTCTATTACGAATTTATAATCTATCGCTTTTACCTGTACTTATACTTATTATCATTCTTAATTTGTTTATGTTTAATCCTACTAATATTATAAATGTGAAAGTGTGGATGTTTGTGTGTATCCACGTGAAGTTCCATCAAGTAATAACTACTGGACCGATGGAGCTGACATTTTGCAGAGAGGTACTTAATAATCTTTAGAAACACATTAGGCATATTAAAGTTACGAAAAACCTATAGGGCTATGCCCCACGGGGGTATAAGGTTTTCATAAATGAATTAAAGAATATTGCCAGTTGTTTTAACCAAACCAGTTGGTTCTATGATATTAAAGCATTCAAAAGCTACAAGATTTACATGGTGCAGTACTATTTTTTGCATTCATGACAACAGCTAATTTAAACTAAGCAGCAACAAAACGCTGTAATACACAATGAGAACTGCAAAATTAGGATTATTTACAGCTATGTTTATGTTTTTAATTTTATAAATAATTGTGATAATGTGCTAATGTTTGACAGTTTACTTTTTTCTATTGTTTTGGTGCAGTGTTACACCATTACGGCTACGGTAGATGTGTTTATTATTACATATCGTAAATTTAAGATTTAAGATTTAAATATTCTCAAACCGTTTTTACGCCCATTGCAAACGCAAAGCACGAGTATAACTGCAATAAGCATTTTATACTTATACGCCAACCCAGTACGAAGGACGGGTACCCTGCTAGTAAAGTTATAAGGTCATATATTTAAAGACAACCTTTTTATTCTCTAAATTCAACTAACACACAGTTTTCTTCAACAACAAACTTTTGACATCAAACTTCTGATGACTAGCATTGTTGAGAAGCATTAAGGACTGGGATCGCGGAACGTCACAACAATGGGATCGCGGAACGTCGCAACAATGGGATCGCGGAACGTCGCAACAATGTGATCGTGGAACGTCGCAACAATGGGATCGCGGAACGTCGCAACAATGTGATCGCGGAAGACGCCCCCGTGCAGTGGTGCATTGTAAAAAAATATAAAACGGTCTCGAAAACTACAATATTACAGTAGTGTGGTTTATCCCATTGCTCAGTAATACAACCTAAGTGCGTTATATAAATAATATCCAATGTCATTAATCGCAATATCCTTTTATTTTGCACAGAATTTTATAATTTACTAGTATACTGTAGGTGGTTTGTTATAACCATTTTATTAGTCTTTACTCTTTTGTTTATATTTCCCATTTTAATTTATAACACTGTAAATTCTAGCACTACTTAATTCTAGCACGGATATTGTTTTTAGTTAAATAAACAAGATATTGACAATTTAAAGGAAGTCAAAAGAACCGTTTTAGAATTCAGAGCAAAAACATCACTCGTATTATAGTATAAGATTGTAATTATAAATATGCACAGTAATTTTTGTCACAAGTCGACCCCCTCACTCAATATCTTTGGCGTCCCTCCAACCCTTCTTCAATTTCATCTTGCAGCTGTCCAATATTGTGAACAATTTTCGAATACATGGCTGACTAACGGGTCCTATATAAAAAGCAATTGTGTTCTAATAGCTGGACACATAATTGTATAATCATGTGCAATTAATTGTTGTCACGATACTGCTAAAAAAAGTTTTTAATAGTAATAATCCCTTTTTATAGCTTGAATCATTTTCAGTTTCTTTGGAATTTTGATAGCACAATATTGAAAATAAGAAATATTTTGTATATAATGACCTGCATTATTATTTTTGTTGTGTAATTTTGATTTAGTTGCTTGTTTTGTTGAAACTTTAATACAAGCTAATTAAAAGGCTACATTGTGTATTGTAGGTTCAATAGAAATATTTTGGGATGATTTTATAAAAATATTTATAAAATACGGCTACACTAACCCGAACAGATGTGGTACTCCTTTGTTATACTAACCTCATCAGGGTTTCAACATCAAATTAGTTAAATTAATTTTATCATAAAAAATCAAAATGTATACAAATCGAATTAATTTTATACATCAAATTAGGTTGGGTTATTTGTACATAAAATATTTTAAATGTACTTTAATTTTAAAATATTTATTTAGTTTTTAGTCTAACCTAATCTAGCATGGTTGGTATAACAGACGTGTGCCAAAAACTGTTACCACGCATTTTTTACTCATCCAGGTGTGTATAATTTATATATCTCTAGCACAATATAATTTCTTTTATCCTTGATAGTATGAATTAGTAAAAATACTGCAACCAGATGCTTTGGTAATCAATACTTACTCTCCAATAACATAAACCAAAAAAAACCTTAAATTACATACCAACTTTCAAATATTACAAGCTAAATACGATTAACCTGAAAAAAATTAAATTAAGTTACTGAGCATTTTAAACATTTTGGTATGTATAATATGATTTTGCATGGCCCACTACGAATTTTTGACTTATCATGTATCCAAGGAGAAGGGCACAGATTATTTATCTTTTTTGATTATCGTTATTTCAGCTAATTTAAGAACACGTACAATTCTGATCAAGGAGTTATTAATCTTTTTTCACTCTAATATTGACAATAAAATCTTAATATTTTGCTGATAAACACATGTAATCAAACCTACCAATAAGCGCACATAGATAACTAAATTTAAAAACAATCGTTGGTCAAGGTTAAATGAATCCTTGCGACAACAAAAAAATTCCCGAGCTATATGGGACCCATACGCTCTTACTATATTTAGCTGAATATTATGTGGTAAAGAAGTTATAACAATCGTCTTTGGCAAGATTTACTTCAACAGCCAACTAAACCACACGTTTTCAGTCGTAAATATTCGATTACGCTGACTTTGCATTTTTTTTCCCATTCTTCCTGCTTTAGATATAAACCATCGGGCTTCAGTTTGTTTATCATATCCTTTGCGCTACATGAATCCTCATTGCAAAGTTTTTCCGTTGGAAATCGTTTGAACCTTTCCTTGGGATCAGGCTTCAAGGGAGAGTACAGGAACAACTGTAACAAATGCACTGCTATGTAATTGTGAGCATACGACCGGGACTGCATTGCAGCACTTATGACTAAAACAAAAACGAGAAAAGGCCAACTTTTGGATGTTAAAGTTGCTCAGTGATCTCAAAAAAGGCTCCAGAACAGCTCACTTCCTTAGATCAGCTGGTCAACTAAACTACTCTGAACCTTGTGTACTGATCTAGAAGATTAAAAATTGGTCTAATGTAAGTGATCTAATATTGAATCTTAGGGTGAATTTTAATATTTTATCCTTTCATTATTGATGATAGTTGTTTTGATAATTATTAATTGTCTCGCATTATTTTGTCTTTATAGATATTGAAATGTTAGTTTTGTATTAAAGCAATAATAAATAATAAATATAAGACTTGGGTCAACGTATCTAAATAAATAAGTTAAAGAGGGTGCAAGTTAATTTTCAGCCACCCTCATGGTTATTTGGATTTGAAACGTTTTAGTGCGCCATTTTGTTATTAGTGGGCCGATTTTGGTTTTCATTATTTCAATTTTTATGTTTCGTCAAGACCTGTAAAATGATACCAAACTCGACTATAATTGTCATTTGAAAATGTTGAGCTACCCCCTACCCCCACTACCCCTAAGAGACAAATTTTATAAATTAACCATAATTATTTCTGACCCTCATAGCTAAGAAGGTTGCCACAAACAGGTTTATATTGTGTTTGTTTCATAAACATTGTGTCATAGAATATTTCAGGATTTAAAGAACTGTTCTTTTTTATGACACTGTTTAATGCTAGGTACTCTACATTTTCAGGTTTTTTTCAGTATGCCCTGTTAGTTGAGATTATAATTCATTGAAGAAACTTTACCGATTGAGACTTGAGACCGACAATAATCTACCTGGACCCTATGGTATTTTGAAAGCAACGATCACATAAGACCAATAGATGGAGCAAGCCTATCTAACTAACATTAAAGCAGGTGAAGCCAGGTCCGCGATCTTATTGTAGGCTAAAAGCGCTAGATGTCGATTAAAACGGCACCAAAACTCAATGTTCCGCTTCAAAATAACTCGACATTTGCCTACTTAAACTTAAGTTATATGGTTGAAACTTCGTATGAGAGAAGTCAATAAAAATAGGACACTATGGGTTCTAATTAAAAGGTACTTTTAAATGAGTTTTAAAATATGACATGAAAAAGTTCGTCGGCTGCTACTTTTTTCTTTTTTGGTCAGGTAAGTTAAAAAACGGTGGATTTTGTAGCCAAAGAGTTGAATCTTTTGGATCATATTTTTTTTAAATCTTTAGCTGGTGTAGTTTAGTTGTAATTTAAATTGTAATATAGGGGCTACTCGCCGCGCCGCGTGGCGTCATGCGGGCAGATTCTGCCTACAACCTCACTTGTAATACAGTTTAGATACTCAAGATTGGAGCTAAACAGAACAGTTACTAAACTAATTAGAAAAACACGAAGTACATACAAATGTTCTTTGTTTTTTTTATTCATCTAAAAATTAATATTTTATATGACTCTTTTACAAAATGTTATATGACAGTCAGAATATAAAGAAGAGTTGTATAAGGAGTTTCGGAGACTATCTTGTGAATTTGAAAATTCATACATTGTAAACCAAACGCCAAAACTTTATCAAACTTTAATACGACATATATACATAGGCCTATATTATAAATTAATTTGTAGCTTTTCAGAATTTTTCTTTTGCCTAAAGAGTTGTTGTTAATTATGCAAACTAACTTTTTCTAAGAAACGGTAAACGCTAGAAAACAAATTAAAAGCGTATTTTGAAGGTCATTGTGTTAGTAATAGAAATATTTATAATACAAAAGCGTATTGTCACGGATATAATTGATATAAACTAACATTTAATTAGATGCGCCCGCTATTAGAGCTCATCTCAGCCGGCATCTTGTTGTAGATTAGTGAAAAATACTGGCTTCACGTCGCGGCCAACATGCTCCATCTATTAGCGTTTATTGAAAGCAACGATCACATAAGACCAAGTTGGTTGGAAGCTTGTGGTGACTGCGCTTTAACGCTTAAGGTCACACAGTTATTTTTTCCAATTTTCTTGTGCATGTGATTTTCTGGGACAGTTTCTTCCAGCTGAGTAACCGATTATCGAACTTATGAACTGAGTCCTGCCATTATACTTGTTCTATATTGGTGTATTAGGTTTTGTGATTTGTTGATTGAGTAAATTGATATGTATTTGTTGGTAATGTTCATATGTTAAATAACATATGTTCTTTAATTGTATTGTTTTTGTTGTTTATTTATGTTTTGATTATGTTTTTGTCTTGAATTGTGATGAAGCCAGTTTTATGATATTAAAGTACAATATTAAATTAGTTTTATGAAAACTGTGTTATTTTATATACGTAAAGTTATCAACATGGTGTCAGGTATGCAACTTTGAGAATATGAATAATATACAACCTCCTGAACCATTTGATTTTACTGAAAAACGTGATGCAACAGAAAACGGGAAGTTATTCAAATGCCAATGGAAGAATTATGTTACTTTGGCAGAAGCTTTCAGCTCGAAGTCAACAAACTTGTCGAATAAGAAGATTCGGCTTGCGCTATTCCTTTCAGTAATAGGACGTAAGGCTGTAAGATTAATAAACAAGCTGTGCAATGAACCATCTGATGTGGATGAAATTATCTCAAGACTTGATGAATATTCTCAGGAAGCAAAGAATGTTACTTACGAACGATACAATTTCAATAGTGCCAAACAAGATGCTCAAGAATCATGCAAGGATTACATTAACCGACTTCATGAACTTGTTGGTAAATGTGATTTTGAAGCCTTGGCTAATCTTTCAAAAAAGGAGATTGAGGAGCAGCTGATATGCGATCGTTTGGTCGCTGGGATCGCTAATGTTCGGTTGCGGAAACGGTTATTGACTAAATCAGATTTGAGCTTAAACAAAGCCACACAGATGTGTATTGCTGATGAGCACTCGGAGAGCTTAGCATTGAAAATTAATTCTAGGAACACAGAAGAAGATTTAGAGGAGAATAAAGACAATAGTTTTAGAGTTGAAAAAGACACTAACATGCGGACTTGCAAATTTTGTGGCAAGAATCATATTTGGGGTGCCAAGTACTGTGCTGCATATGGAAAAGTCTGTAGTAAGTGTAAACAAAAGAATCATTTTGCAAATGTGTGCAAGCAAAATATACGCAAGGTTTGTCATGTTGAAGCGGATAGTAGACCCAAGGATGACACATCCGCATATGAAGATCGTTCGAACTAGGATGATGACATATACCATGTCAAAGAAGAAATACCGAAGAAACGCTTATTCATTGATCTCCTACTCTGCATGAAAGACAGTGAACCTTTTATCAAATGCCAACTAGACAGTGGATCATCATGCAACGTCATTGGCTACGAGACGCTAAAGAAGTTAGTGGGAATCCTAAGATTGAAGGAGAGCAGTACAAGACTTACTTTCTATGGTGGTGAATCTCAGTTTTCCCTTGGAAAAGTCCAGTTGAATGTTAAGTGGAAAAATAAGAAACACAAATTGATTTTTGAGGTCATCGAGACACCTCACAATCCACTACTTGGTGCGCAAGATTGTATTAACCTTGGTTTGATTTCATTTGATGAATTGGTCTATCAAATCCAAAGTTGTAAAGTCTCAGAGAAAATGCTATCTTCTTTTCCAGATATTGGAAATGGTTTAGGGTGTTTTGAAGGACACTGTGAATTTAAGCTAGATACATCAGTACGTCCGATTGTCGTTCCTCCACGGCGATATCCTGTGGCTCTAAAGAAAGAGATACAAGATGAAATAAAACGTTTGGAAGATCTGCAAGTGATAAAAAAGTGACAGAGCCTACCGATTGGGTTAGTGCCATGGTAGTTGTGAAGAAACCAAACAAATTATGCATTGATCCTCATCAACTCAATAAAGCAATAAAACGCCCGAACTACCAAGCACTGACTATCGAAGAGATTGCTCCCCAGTTGAGTAAAGCCAAAATATTCAGCAAACTAGATCTCAAAGACGGATTTTGGCATGTCAAATTGACAGAAGATTCTAGTAAATTAACAACATTTTGGACACCGTATGGAAGATACCGATGGTTAAGGCTACCTTTTGGTATATGTTCCGCTCCAGAAGAATTCCAGCGGCGTGTGAATGAACAGTTTGAAGATCTGGAAGGGGTCATAGTAATAGCAGATGATGTTGTTGTGTTTGGAAGTGGAGATACTGAAGAAGAAGCTCGCATTGACCATAACAATAATTTAAAATCACTACTTCAAAGGGCTCATGAGAAAAATTTTAAGCTTAACTTATCAAAATGTATGATTGGTATGAAGGAAATTAAATATATGGGTCATGTAGTCAGTGCAGATGGATTGAAGCCTGACCCCTAAAAGATTTCAACAATAAGAAATAAGAAAGCACCACAAAACAAAGAAGAACTGCAAAGATTTCCTGGATTCATGAATTATTTGGGAAAATTTTTTTCCTAAACTCTCAGATGTATCAGCACCATTACGATCACTGTTGAAGGAAGGTAATTTGTGGATATGGGAAAAAACTCATGATGAAACATTTAAAAAGCTAGTCCATTTGGTAACATCATCTCCAACCTTAAAATACATTGACATAGAAAAACCTGCAACTGTGCAGTGTGATGCTAGCCAATTTGGATTGGGAGCTTCCCTGATGCAAGATGGTAAGCCAGTGGCATACATTTCCAGGACTCTTAGTAAGGCAGAATCGTCATATGCACAAATTGAAAAAGAATGCTTGGCAGTAGTTTATGCTCTTGAACGATTTGAACAGTACTTGTTTGGAAAACATGATATAACAGTTGAAACTGGTCATAAACCATTAGAGACCATCTTCAAAAAACCATTGAATTCGGCCTCAAAGCGGTTGCAGCGAATGCTTCTCAGACTGCAAAGATTTAATTTCAATATAATATATAGACCAGGAAGAACAATGTTCATCGCAGACTTTTTGTCTCGAACACCCATTACAGGAGATAAATCACATGAAGATAAAAGTATTCAAATCTTTTCAACAGACAGTCTAAAGTGTTTTGAAAACTCCAGTTCAATAATGTACTTAAACGTGACAGACGAAAGACTAGACCAGATTAAGAATATCAAAAAATCAGATCCAACTATGAAAAGACTAATTAACACGATTTACAATGGGTGGCCTATAAGTAGCAAGCAACTATCCGAGGATCTCAGACAATATTGGCCATTTCGTGATGAACTAAGTGTAGAGGATGGGATCGTTCTCAAAGGAGAAAGAATTGTGATTCCAGTTTCATTACGAAGAGAATTAATTCAAATAATACATTCCTCTCATCAGGGATCAGATGCATGTATCAGACGTGCACGAGATGTGTTTTTCTGGCCCTGTTTGAGTAGAGACATAAAAAATGATATAAGTTCCTGCAAGATATGCAAAATGTATGCACCAGACCAACGAAGAGAACCTTTGATACTTGAGAAAACTCCGGAGAGACCCTGGCAAAAAGTAGCCATTGATTTTGCCCAGGAAGGTTCGATTCACTATTTGATTGTCTGTGACTATTTTTCGTCATTTTTTGAAGTGAAAAAGGTAACAAAATGCACAAGTGAAACCCTGATAACATTTTGCAAAGAACTGTTTGCAAGGTATGGAATACCAGAGGTGGTTGTTTCAGACAGTGGAACGCCCCTGAAAAGCTAGATACATGCGGACATATATTTTCAGTGCGGCGCAGTTACAGTCACGTCGTCAGAGCCGTGTAGATGAATGCCTTCGCAATCGGGAGACAAAATATCCCCCCTTAATATTAACTGTGGAAAATGAATAGTCTGGGCATGGCTCAAAGTTTTCACGAGTTTGCTAAAAATTGGAATTTTAAGACAGTTCTATCACCACCGTACCATCACCAAGCAAACGGTAAAGCAGAGTCGGCAGTAAAAATTTTCAAGAATCTTTTGAAGAAATCGCGTCAAGATGGAGTGGACTTCCAACAAGCGTTATTAGAACTTAGGAACACCCCATTGCAAGGAATTTGCTTTAGCCCCGCTCAACTCCTCATGAACCGAAGAACACAAAGCAAACTGCCAATAAATAAGAGCTTACTGAAGCCACAAGTTCCACAAAATGTTCAGAATCTATGGGAACGTAAAAAGAGACAGTACAAAAGTCAGTATGACCATGGAACCACAGAGCTGCCTCCATTATCGATTGGCCAATGCGTGTGGTTAAAGAAACAACCCCAACTGAAGAATGCGACATGGCTTGAGGGTAAAGTTGTTCAAAAGGAAGGGAGGAGAAAGTACATTGTGCGCGTGGAAGGAAAAGACTACATCCGAAATAGACAATTTTTAAGAACTTAAAAACATTTTGGAAAAAGGAAGATGTTGTTAATGTTCATATGTTAAATAACATATGTTCTTTAATTGTATTGTTTTTGTTGTTTATTTATGTTTTGATTCTGTTTTTGTCTTGAATTGTGATGAAGCCAGTTTTATGATATTAAAGTACAATATTAAATTAGTTTTATGAAAACTGTGTTATTTTATATAAGTAAAGTTATCAACAGTATTCAAATTTTAAAAGGGGTTTCTTGTTTTCACCTTGATCTTAAAACAAGTGGCGCTCATTCCTTACCTAGTTCGAGCAAGGAAATTCAACTCCTAACCCAACATTCTCACCTACTGAGTACAGCTGAGGTAAGTAGAATTTTGGAAGGTAACATATTTCTATTACCTCAAATGTCATATCTTGTGAACTGGCTTCAAACATCAATGTGTCGCCAGGAGAGGCCATGTATTCCGTATCTTTAACTAACGCCCATACCAGCGCAGTTACAGTCACGTCGTCAGAGCCGTGTAGATGAATGCCTTCGCAATCGGGCACATCTCCAGTTTTCTCGCTTTGCGAATGGGTTAACGAGTGGATTATTTCTTCAACCATATTGCTTAGTATCTTAAATAACAGTGTGCCTGAAACAATTTTGAATCAGTGTTTTACAATTTTCAACTACATATGCATGACCATTTACCACAAGGGCCTGAATACCATAAGTGGCCTCCATATGTTGCCTAATGAATTACACCAACTTCCTCAATACATACTGAAAATATAACCTCAATTTTTTCTAGTTTCCAAATAGATGTTCCTAACTGAATGAATAGTCTGATTGTAATGGCCAATGTAACTGAAAAATTACTAAAAACAAAAGTAACGTTAACAAAACACTTCAAATAAGGAAATGGAATGCTTAAGGTTTATTTCAAATTACGTTAAATAAGCTGTAATTTTGAACCTCGTTAAGTTAATGATGACTTGTTTATGATTGAACGATTGCTAACCTAAAAAATAAGGAACATAACATTAATCCGACTAGTTGAATTGTCGAAATATAATGCACTACTTTAAGTTTACGTTTTAAATTATACAGTATAATAAAAACCATGTAATCTTTTTACCTGCAATTTAATTAATTAGGCTTTCATTTCAAAATTTAACTTCCAATTTTTATTCAATTATTTTATACCTGGATTTAAATGTTTTATTCTTTTCACAATTTAATTCCTTTTTAATTCTGCGTCACGCCCCTTGATTTTGGGTAAAACTTGTTTTTTTCCTTGACGGTTGCTATTAACCGCTTGATGTATAGGCTATGCGATGCGACCACATTTGTTAATATCTGTAATAATTGTATTGTAATTCATGTTTGTAAATGTAAAAAAAAATATTTCTGTGTATAGGCTTTACATATTCTAAAGATTGTTTACAAGGTGGCCACCTAACCTAACTTATCTTGTTTTGAATTTGTCAATTAAATGTTTTTCGCTCAATGGCAACTTAAGGCCTAGTTAAAAGAAAGCTTTAAAATTTTAAATTAAATATTAGAAATGTGTAAATTGTTAAAATGTTTGGTTATTATTTTGGCTAGGGCATGGCATGTTAAATATTTTATAATTATTGTTCTTTGACTTGTTATATATATTTTTGATAAATAAATTTGATATTTGTGTCCAGCCAGCTCTTGAGTTGTCATTGTTGGTCTTCCACCTCAGCAATATTGTGCCGGGATCCCAACATTGGTTTTGCGCTTCCAATGGCCTAACCCTTTTAATCAATGGAGTAGGGACTTCGGTTACACTAGGATCAAATTAGATGGCATGTTAAATAGTTGCATACACTACCTGTATAGTACTGAAGGAATGGATTCACTCTCATCAACAGCTGGGACTGAACGATTTTTTCCATTTTCGATAACAGTGGAATAACCCATCCTGGCAGCTTCTTATTGTTGAGTTTCTGGACAAAAAATTAGATACCTCAACGCCTTCTAAAATAGTAACATGGAAAACTTCTTCCACATAATAATTTTTTTCACCCTTATAAAATATCATTTATTTTAATTTATTGAAAATCTCTCTAATAACTATTATCTTCAAAAAAAGAAGGACCAAATATAGAGCGTTGAGGTAAATAACAGTAACTTGTATAGTATTACGGGGCTAAATTAAAAAGATTTCTTTGTAAAAAAAAAAGGTTGGACCAAATATAGAAACTGCATAACGCAAAGTTTGGCCACGCATATTCTTAACCATTTAGTGAGGTGGCATTAGTGTACATTTACGTTCGTATAACTTTTTTGAGCTGGAGGGGAATACCCAAATAAACTAATTAAAACAAATATTATTATAACAGACTCTGTTCATTATTTTTATTATTTCTATACTCTATTCTGAAAACTATCCTACTTCCTACTTAATATTATAAATGAGAAAGTTTGGATGTTTGTGACAAGTGAACGCGAAAAAACTGGTCGGATTGGGCTGAAATTTGGCATGATGATAGCTCACATTCCCGATTAACATATAGGCATATTCTTATTTCAAAAATCCTTTTGGGCTCCGCCCCAGTGGCTCTGGAGTTTCCCATGTTAACCTTATGAGAAATGGAATTATTGAATCTTAACAGCTGTTTCAATTAAACAAGTTGGTTCTGTTCTATGATGTTCAATAGCATTAAAGTTACAAGGATTACCAACAGGGTTGCAGCACTATTATTTCTTTTACATTTATGACAACAGCTAATTTGCAACCAAAAGGTGAGTGAGCGTAGCGAATGAACTCAAACTTGGAGGCGAGTGAGCGTAGCGAACGAGCTAACCTGAAGGCAAGTGAGCGCAGCGAACGAGATAATCTTGAAAATTAAGAAGTTAAACGGGGCAAAGCCCGCGGGTTACAGCTAGTAACCAATAAATACAACTATAACATACCATCATTTGATATGTATCATATATGTGGAATACATCATCCAGCGTAAGTTTTTTTTTTTTAATTTCTCCATTGATCTTCTTTATTACATCTTTTCCATCGGTTGACAGTTTTTTCATCTCCTTTCGCATATTGCGATCCTTGAGTAGTGTGTAGTGTTTGCATCGAGTATTTTTTTCGTCACTTTCAAAAAGCTGAAAAGTAAATGGTACTCCTTAAAAAAATAATCAAAAACTAACATTTAAAAATAGTAGGCCTAATATTATATTTCATTTTTATACAAAATAAGCGCGTACTGAAGACCCATTATTTTTACTACTTGTGAGTCTTTATCCGATTTCCAATTTTCTATGCTTTATTACACTGTTATTTTCTAATATCTCTAAAGATTTTAGCCAAAACAAATTTAAGCTGCATAGTACAACTCGTTATATCACAAACACCTTAACAAAAATATAAATACACCCGCCGCAGCAAACCTGCAGACTATGTGAATTTCAATTTGATTGAATTGATTCGAAATTAAATGTACTTAAATAACATTAGGTTTCACAAGTACCTAGGTTTCCTGCTACAGGAAGGGCAACAAAGTGTGATTTTTGTAAAATATTAGTAGGTTAGTATAAAATAAATAAATTTGCCAAGTGTTATTAAAATATTTCCATAAAACAAGCAAACTAAAACATTTTACAATATTCTCCATAAGAATAACATGAGAATTTTAAATCTGCAATTTTAGCGAATTTCCCATATAGGGAATAAGCTATCACTGTAGGTCTCATGGTAAGACCTACCCCCCTAGACCTAGACCCGGGACCGATTTCCTTTTTCATTTTGAGGTCCCAATAGGCCAAAAACACCATCCGTTCAAATTCTTATATATAAGCTGTGTCCGTTAGCGCGATAACTCGAGCAAAAATGGTCCAATATTGATGAAATTTGGTACAAACGTGTAAACCTACGGTTATTCGAACGAGTTCGCGAACCAGCATAATCAGACTATGGCAAAAGGGGTTTATGGGGGGTTTTATGGGGTAAAAATTGATTTTTCCCATTTTTGACCCTAAAAACTTTAAATTTCTAAATTTCTCTCTAGACGAAGAGCTTAAAAAAAACAAATAATTTAGTATATTGAAGTGTTTTTGAATGTTCATTGGCTACCGAGAAAATTAAAAAAAATGTTAATTTAAAATTCCCATGTTATTCTTATGGATAAATAAACTGTTGTAGTTTGCTTGTCTATGGAAATATTTTATTCAAATTTGGTACTTTGGTTAATTTCATACTAAGCTATCAATATTTCAATAAAAAAACACACCTCAATATCTTCCCCGTCGCAGCAAACCTAACTACTGTACTCACTAAAATTCATGTTATTTAAATAGGAAATAAATCTGAAAATTGATAGGGAATATTTTAGTAGAAATCAAGCCGGGTAAATGGAAATTCGCTTAGTATGCAGGTTTGCTGCGATGGGGATATTTTGATTTTTTTCCGTAACCATTAACCATAGAAAACACTTTATGTATACTAAATAATTAGGTTTTTTAAGCTCTTTAATATGATTTAGAGAGAAATTGGGAAATCTTGTGTTTTGAGGGTCAAAAATGAAAAAAATTACCCCATAAAACCCCCCGGAAAACCATATTCCCATAGTCTGATCATGCTGGTTCGCGAACTTATTCAAGTTTATCCCGCCTTACACCTTTAAACCAAATTTCATCAAAATCGGACAAAAATTACCCAAGTTATCGCGTTCACGGGCGTATATATATATATATACATATATAGATATATATATATTTAAACGAATTTGACCTCTAGGGACATAAAAATGAAAAAGTATATCGATCCCAGCTCCAGGTCTTACCGTGCCACCTACGGTAATAGCTACTTCCCCATAGGAAAATTCGTTAAAAAGGTTATCGCAAATCTATTAAATCAATACCAACATCACAATTGTCTCCGAAGCGTCTCTGAGGCAGTTTATCATCTTTTCCTTCTAATGTATATTCCCTTTTCATCCATTTGAACCCTTGCGGAATCTCGTACATGCTTTTGAGTACTCGATCCACAGAGTCTATTGCCGCTAATCTCTCGTTCGAAGTAGCTGTAAATCGCTTTTCATTGAATTCAGGGATTTTTTTGTTGTACCTGGTCTTCAAGCTCCGTCCCACACGTCCCATCAACACTTGGCCAACCTGAAACGAATGTCATTATACAACTTAAGATATATAAGTCATCCAATAATCACATATAAGCGATCTGACACACATTTTCTCTTATGAGCTTATGAACAACCCTCATCATAACAAGCGGTGGGAGTAGCTATGGAATTTTTTGGGTAAAGTTTGCAATAACCTTTGAACCATAGTTTTTACTGAATTGGGGGTTGTACCTTTATGTAGAGTTACAAGTCCCATAGCATACGAAGTTTGAATCAAAATCTGTTGGGGTTTTTAGAATTTGATTTTCCTTTATTTAATGGGTTGTTATAGGAAAATCAGTTGCTATTCCTTTTTGAACCATAATTCTTACAGTGATTGGGGTTGTACGATTTTTTATGAACTGAAAGGGTTATCTATCTATCTATCTATACTATTATAAAGAAGAGGTGGTGTCTGTGTGTGTGTGTGTGTGTGTGTGTGTGTGTGTTTGTATGAGCTAATCTCAAAAACTACTGAACCTTTTGGGCTCAAATTGCACACACATGAAGCTACAGTTCCGAGGATACATATAGAACTATTCCCGCTTCAATATTGTCCTAGGGCTATGCCCCGTGGGCTTTCAAAAATTGGAGGTGAGAGATTTCAAAGTAAATTTTAATTGATGGTATCCATGACAACAAAGAACAAACCTACAAAGTTTAAAAATGTAAACAAGCAGTACTAACTGTCAAATTAATTTTGATTTCACAATTCCATACAGCTGGTTCAAACATTCATTTAAATACTGCATGAATATTAGAACAAAGAGGGTAAGGATCATATTTAAAATAATGATGTCACTATCCTGAATGTAAACATTATTTAACATTACTTAAATGGAGCTGACGCTAATGTAATTTCATTATAATAGGATTCTTTCAGTTACATAATTACAGTTTGCAGCACTATTATTTTTTTGCATTTATGACAACAGCTAATTTGAACCAACTAGCCACAAAAAGCTGTGGTACACAATGAGACCTTTACTTTTTTCTATGGTTCAGGGGCAGTGGTAGAACAAAAGAACCAAACTTTCTTAAACCATGTCCTCACCCATAACTGCAATAAGCATTTTATACTTATATGCCAACCCCGTACGAAGGACACTCTGCTAGTAACATACTAAATGTTAATCTAAATCTTGTATCAGACAGAAATTGCCCTTTTGAGTTTTAAAGGCATATAGATGGACTTAAATTAATGGTAAAAGATGTAAAAATTAAGATTTTTAAGTAAAAAACTGCAGAAATCGCCTTGAAAGGGAAGAGCCTCAATCTCAGAAATCCAACGACTTGCATAGAAGAACAATTATAATAAGAATAATAATAATAATGTATTTATTGCTCTTTGACAATTATTCCTTGTATAGCAAACGTCAATCAATACAAAAAATTCAAGAAATGAGATAAAATACAATCGCTGTGTAAACTAAGGTAGGAAATTGGGTATTTATTTATAAAATTTATATATATATTTATATTATGTAAAAACAGTAAATGAATAAACTATTAATTAATAACAATAAATAAACTCCTAACAAAAGTAATAACAGCAATTATTTTAATAAACAATGACTAAAAAGTAACTAAACAAACCCCTGGGGAAGAAAATTTTGTAATCTATTCAACTCCAACGGTATTTAGTGAACTCATCCACCTCGTAAAACACACGCTTCGTTAACTCTCTCTTCAGTCTTGTTTTAAACAAATGAGAACTCTCCAGGCTTTTTAGTCTCTCAGGAAGAGCGTTAAGGAACCCGACACCCACTTGGGAAGGGAGTTTCGCAAACGCAGCTGTGCGGGGTTGGACAGTGCGAAAATCGTCCCTTGCTCTAGTTCCATAGCTGTGAATAGCATTGCCTTGAATAGGTAAGTGTTGGAAACGGCAATAAACCGCAGTCTCCAAAATATAAAGGGATGGTAGGGTCAAGATTCCAAGCTCCCTGAAAGCAAGCCTACACGTCTCTCTTTCATGTTGACTTAAATTTGCAATGAGTCTGATGGCTCTTTTCTGGAGTATAAACACCCTTTCAAAATCAATCTCGCTTGGCACAACCACCCCATAACCTAATTCCATAGGAAAGGTGGGGGTGAACAAGGCCATAATAGGCCATGATTAGAACTTGTTATGTGTAAGTTTGTTTGAGACTCCTATAGGCAAAAATACCTTTTGTGATTTTGGAGCAGAGGCTATCAATGTGATCTTACCAGTTCAGCGCCTTATCCAGGTGCATCCCTAGGAACTTGATGGAATCAACCTCCTCTAAAGAGGTGTCATCCACCATTACTGTGGGTGTAGACTCATTGTCACGGCGACGAAGTGCAAAATGAATGTAACATGTTTTTGATCGTGCTTAAATTTTTGGATTGGAATTTTTGAATGCAGGCGTTCAAGTTGATGAAGCTTTCAATTTCAAGGGTTTCTTGGGATTTTGATTCAAAATAGAGAGTCGTGTCATATGCATACTGTATGACCTTCCCACTGTTCATTGAGGAGTGGATGTCATTGGCATAAATCAGGAACAAAACTGGACCAAGGATCGATCCCTGCGGGACACCTTGGTAGACACTTGAAGTCTTTGATTTGCCATCCGACACCTGTACATACTGAGTCCTACCAATGAGGAATGTTTTCAGCCAGAGAAGGGGCACCCCGCGGATGCCACTTAGCTCCAGCTTTTGTAACAGTATGTCGTGATCCACACAATCGAACTCCTTAGAAAGGTTCAACATCACAAGGAACAAACCATAAAATTCGTCAAGCAGGACAAATACTTGTGTGTTATGCTGGAGTATAACCTAGGTTTATGTAACCACGCAGAAGAAGTTGGAGCGAAGTCAATCGACCTTTTTGGAAACCTTACCAGACCAATCAGGCTAAAGAACGGGGTCAAATTTTCCAGGATCAATTTCCCTTACAAGACGGTATTTATACCAGTTATATTCTACGTGTTGAGAGCCTGGGACTTCAGGATCAACCAGGACCATCTTGCACGACTCTTAAAGGAAGCACAGAGAATAGTTCTAATAGAACAAACTTTTTACAAGCGTTTTCTCAGCGTTGGTGGACAATCTCAAGATCAAGATTCCAAGATCAAGATCCATCTCAAGATTAAACAGGCAGACACCTCAGGGAAAGAACAGTACTACTACGAGACGAATCCAGGAGCCTGATCACTACAAGATCTAGAGTGGAGTGGCAAGAAGAGTGGAAAAACTCGACAACAGGAAGACTTACTGTACCCATGAACTATTCCCGAACATCTCGGCTAGGGTAAAGGACTGTTTGTATCACACTTCAATCCAGCTGCTTACAGGTCATGAAGTGTTTAGCACTTACCTGTTCAGATTCGGAAAAAGAAACCCGAAGACTGTCCGGACTGTGGGGAGCGAGATCACCCGTACCACATACTTCTGTTGTGTCAATCACACGCAGATCTGAGATAAGAGGCATCACAAGGTCGTGGAGCTTCTCCACCCTCGTCCGTGAAGAAGATCTTCATAATCTGGAGAACCACTCACCAAAGACGAGACTTGTAAAAGATGGTACCAAACATTCATAAATCAACAGCTGGATTGGTAGTGGACACCAACCCCGAACATGACTACAAGTTTAGACATCATCCTACCAACAATGTTGACTTCTGCTTGGGTCCGTGGGCATCTTTCATCGCTGGACTTGGAGATTAACGGACAGACAACACTGCATCCTGTATGACGCCACTAACAAAAAAATTAGATTCTAGAATCAAAAATAGAAATAAATACAAGTTTCCACCAATGACAGAGTAAGAAGAGAATATAAAACGAGGTATGTCGAAAGATAGAACTTGGTGGAGAAACAAACAGAAATTAAAAATGTAATCATAGAACACCGTGGTATTTTAAGTACGCCCCCAAAGCCATGCCCCCAAAACCAAAAATTTTACCTCGTGGTTGATAAATACTCGTAAACATGAGTTCAACACCAGTACCAGTAGTTTGGTATGACCATATTCATGAAACCTTTCTAACTACAATTTTAGTTGTAGGGCCTATTACCGGCCAAGAACACAGCAGTACCAATTCTATCGAGGAACCAAGAAGATCTGTTCGCTGACAGAAGAGCGCGCGTCAACACCGTGTTCGAGGGTAAGCTAACTGAGAAGTGGAGTGGATTGCACAAGAGGATTCATATCTTATTGGTTGGGCTTTTGCTTGATGAATTGGAGCTTTAAATACGCTGGACTGAAGAGGCTCAGCTGTAAGCTTAGTATTTTTATCAGCGAGACAAATCTTCGTACAAAGGAAACTCAACCCATGAGCTTGTTAGTTTTATTCCCTATTTAACTAATTTAAGATTTAACTGATAAGTAGGTTTGCTGCTACAGGGAGGGAAATTTATTTTATGAAAAATTGTGTTTAGTTTAATTAAAATACATATATAAACAAGCGAACTACAACAGATAACTTTTTCTACCAAAAAACAACATAGGAATATTTTAAGTACAGTTTTGGGAAATCTATCTGTAACCTTTAATCCTACAACAACGCTTCAAATACCCCCACCGTAGCAAACCTGCAGACTTAGCGAATTTCCTTTTGCCTGATTGGATTAACACTAAAATTTATCCTTAAAAATATTACATTTATTCCCTATTTAAATAGAATTAGTTAACGAGAACTTTAGTTTGCTGCACAGGGAGGGTAAACAATTGTTTTTTGTTGTAAAATTGTTATTCTGTGGTTTAGTAAGAAATGGATGTATTTTCCGAATTTGATCGAAATACTATCATAAACAAGCAAACTAAACAGTTGACTTATTTTTTATAAGAATAACGTAGGAATGTTGAATTTACAATTTTTTGGAATTTTCTCCGTAACCATTAGGCGCATAATTGGAAATGAATTGTGAAATTTTGTGTTTTTAAGGTCAAAAATGGGAAAACCCTATTTTTATCTCATAAAACCCCGTTCCTATAGTCCGATCATGCTGGTTCGAGAACTCGTTCGAATTAATGTAGGTTTCCACGTTTGTAACTAATTTAATCAAAATCGGATCATTTTTGCTTCAGTTATCGTGCTAGCAAACACACACAAACACACACTTATATATCCCGGGTCCAGGTCTTACCATGAGTACATCGGTAATAGCAATAGCTTATTCCCTATATGGGAAATTCGCTAAACACAAAACTAATTTTAGGTCTTCACTATAATTGGAATGAAAAATTAATTTTTTTGTGTTTTTAGAGTTAAAATAAAATACCCCCGCCGCAGCAAACCTGCAGACTAAGCGAATTTTAACTTGTCTGATTACATTTTTAATAAAATATTTCCATAAATAAGGTATAATTATTCCCAATTTAAATAATATTAGATTTCACGAGTGCTTAGGTTTGCTGCTACGGGGAAGGTAAAAGTGTTTTTGACCTTACGTAAATATTTTAGGATGAAATAAATAAATTTGCCAAATTTTAACAATATATATAAACAAGTAAACTACAACGATTTTCATTTTCTCCTTAACAATAACATGGGAATTTTAAATTACACTAGTGTTGAATTTTCTCCCTGTTAGGCATACAACACCGCTTAAAAATACTAAATCATTTCTTGTTGTTTTTGGCCTTTAGGGACCTCAAAACGAAAAACGAAATCGGTCCTGGGTCCAGGTCTTACCATGAGTAGAGTAATACGGTAATAGCTTATTTCCTATATGGGAAATTCGCTAAAATGAACAAAAAAAATGAAACTCCTTAACACTAAGTTCCCATCAACCCATCTTGTTTCCAAGCTCATTCAAGTCTACAAAGCCCAATACTTTAATTCTGAATTTCATCAAAATCGGAGCCAAATTACTCAAGTTGTCGTGTTTACGTACACGCATAAGCACATGCACATGACATATTAAACTTATAGTGTTTTTGGCCTCTAGGAATATCAAAAGAAAATAGTAAATTGTTTCCAGGTTCGGTCTTACCGGTGAAACCTACGGTAATAGCTAGTAGCTACTTTCCTATAGGGAAATTTGTTAAAGTACTTTGAACACGTCGTAAATATAACCTCAATAACATATTAGTCGTGGTTTAACATTCATAATTTAATAAGTCTATTTATCTATGATCAACTGTCGTCATAACGTCATGTTAAACACATGCATGTTAAACCATATAGAGGTTATATTTATGATGTATTCTAATCGTTGTAGCGAATTTCCTTGTAGGGATGTTATTGTTATTACTACTGATGACACGGTAGGACCTAAACCGGGTTGTTATATAATAAAAACAAAAAATAAAAAGTTCTTAATTACGTTAAGAAACGCTTATTACATCAACATCATGATTGGATCTAGGACGTTGATATAATACCTACGCCTTGTCCATATTTTATACGTTTACTTAGTGCGTATTAAATATTCACAACTACTTGTCTGTTATAAATTCTTAAACCAAAACAAAATGTTATTACCTCAGTAAGCCTTTCTTTTCCTTTCGGCCATAGCTTTTCGAAGTCTGATTCACTGTTGAAAATATCCTTTTTCGGGCTCCTTGGTCCTTCGACAAATATCTAAAAATGTGTCAAGGTTTAAAATATATAACTTAATATGAGTCAACCCTAAATGTAAATACCCCGCCGAAACAAACCTGTGCAGACTAAGCGAATTTCAAATTGTCTGATTGCATATTTACTACAATTTTTCCATAAACATAAAATATTTATTCACCATTTAAATAACATTAGATTTAACAAGTAGACTAGTTAGGTTTGCTGCAACGAGGAGGTTTGAAAGTGTTATTTTGACCAAATAGTAAAATAAAAATAAGTTTGACACCCAAAAAAATTAGCACAACATTTTGGGTTTACCTTCCTTTTTAACATACTAAATGTCTCCTAAAATTGAAGCTCTGCTACTACTGTCGCCATATTGAAAAATTTTTGTATTCTTAGCTTTAGTAGCTTTATTATTATAGATGCAGGAAATAGTTATTTGTGCAACTAGTGAGAAAAGTGAGAACAAACTCACTCAATCAACTCCAATCAATCGACACACCAATCAACACACATCAATTGACTCACTCGAGAGAAATCCTTACTCACGAGCCTTAGGCGAGTAAGGAATGGTTTCTCGAGTGAGGCAATTGTACTTTGAACTTGAGTTGCACATTATACTTTTCCTACAGTTACCATAAAACAAATAAATTGGTGAAGAAACATAACCTATTTTTACACATAAGTGAACTTTTAATATAACATTTAATGTGAAGTGACAAATACAACAGTACAACAGCTGACCAGCTGATTTACAGCCAGTGCTGCCAACGTATTTCGCGCGCATACGGCGTTGCCTGCATGTTACGCGCTCACTATTTCGTGCCTTCACGTTGAAAATCTGGAGTGAGACAAAGTAATTAGAGTGGGACAATGTTAACATTGTCTCACTGATGAGCGAATTGGTCACTTTGCTTTCTCAAATCAGCGAGAGAACATGTACATTGTTAGGTAACTGTAGGAAAAAGCTTTTTCGTAACTATGTATTCGAAAATAGCCCATTTCCATACAGCTGAGATCTTCGAAAATCTTAAATTTCCATACGCCAAAAACAAATATTGATCATCTGACTTTTCCTGACATAAAAATTATTTTCGCTACATAAAAAATACTTGGCCTGACAACAACAAAGTTACAATCAGCTGAATTTTACACTAAAATATCATTGTACAGCCGTATTGTGTTTAGAAAAATGAATGGTTTTAGAAGTATCAGGTATTTTTTAAGTTTGATGAAGTAGATTTTTTCATCGTGATAAAAAGTATCGTCCAATCCTCGTCACGAAAGTTCCATTTCGGGGAGAGATTTCACGTGCGAGCTCGTCTTCTACTCGCATGTAAAACACTATCTCGCCCCGAAATGGGTCACTTTCGTGACTATAGCCAGGAATAAATATAGTATACACAACATGTAGTCCATCTAAAAATACACATTTTTGGTAAATATAATTTTTCTCCAGGTTATTTGCGATTAAGTAAAGTAGGTTATTTTGTATTTATCAAAAGAAAGTTGAAATCCATCGAAATCGACGGTTACTTTCAAGTTTTACAACAATTCAACCTAATTATACGATAGAGTATAACGAACACAAACACAACCGTCATAGACGAAACGATTGAATCGCTTACTGAACAGCAGCTTATTTCCATTAGCAAATTAAATTCAAAATATGTTAAAAGTAGTTTGGAGATCTTATTTTTTTTTAATTATTTTAGTTTTGTAACATCATTTGTTCAAATAATTGTGCAATCTTTGATTTATGTGTGTAAGATGATAAGGTTGTATCTAATGATCGTTTTACATGGTAAAAAAACTAACTTATTTTATAATTTTGAGGTTAACTGTGGGATAAATAATTGTGAACTCATGCGATTTTCTAAGCTGAGTGAGTGGTACTTAGGTTTCTTACAACGAATGTGTGTATTAGATCTTCAGGAGCTTCTGGTAAGTCGTCTTTTTCTTCGTCCTGTCCAGTCACATCTGCAGAGGAAGCGTCAACGAGAAGACAGACCAAAGCAATAGCTGAAATACGATATAAATAGTATTTATTTCAATAAAAACTAATGGCATGTAGGGACATACTAAAAAGCTTAAAACTTAAAACAACTTAACGTAATATGTAAACAAACTAATAATAAAATTATTTATTTGTCTAGATGAATATCCCCGGAAACCGTATCTTTGTGTAAACGGGTATCTTAGTTTGCTTTGGTTTTTGTTTTATTTCTTATATATATATTATTATATATACATACATATATATATAATCCAATGTTTGTCTGTCATGCTATGTTTGTCCTTTTCGTTACCAAACGACCATCCGATCATGATGGAAATCTATGGAAGTAAATAAGTATTATACAAAGTGGATTTTTTTTAGCCAAACTGAATGTTTATGGTTTTAGGGTTCCATTTCTCAGTTGTCGATGCTAATCACGAAATTCCTTTCCATCAGAATTGACAGTTGACACGAAAATCTTTGGTTTGGTTTTTTTGTTTTCAAAAAGTCCCAATTACTGTATAGATAACGTTATCCCTGGTTTTAATATAGTAGGCTATACAGTGCATTGCAACTGGCTTAGAAGTAAACCAACTGCGTGTATTGAATTACTGGCTAGGAAAATAAAGCGCAATCCTACTAATATTATAAATGAGAAAGTTTGGATGTATGGATGTATGGATGTATGGATGTATGTTTGTGACAAGTGAACGCGAAAAATACTGGTCGGATTGGGCTGAAATTTGGCATGATGATAGCTCACATTCCCGATTAACATATAGGCATATTCTTATTTCAAAAATCCTTTCGGGCTCCGCCCCTGTGGCTCTGGAGTTTCCCATGTTAACCTTATGAGAAATGGAATTATTGAATCTTAACAGCTGTTTCAATTAAACAAGTTGGTTCTGTTCTATGATGTTCAATAGCATTAAAGTTACAAGGATTACCAACAGGGTGCAGCACTATTATTTCTTTTACAATTTATGACAACAGCTAATTTGCAACCAAAAAGTGAGTGAGCGTAGCGAACGAACTTCAACCTGGAGGCGAGTTCGCGTAGCGAACGAGCTAACCTGAAGGCAAGTGAGCGCAGCGAACGAGCTCCAACCTAAAGGTGAGTGAGCGTAGCGAACGAGCTCCAACCTAAAGGTGAGGGAGCGTAGCGAACAAACTTCAACCAGGACGTGATTGAGCCATGCGAACGAGATAATCTTGAAAATTAAGAAGTTAAACGGGGCAAAGCCCGCGGGTTACAGCTAGTTAACTATATACTAAAGTAAACATAAATCAGCTGTATACGGCTTCTAATGCTATTCTTATGAAAAAACATTGTACGTTATATCTAATTTTCGGTTAAAACTTTGGAAATTCCACTATTTTCCCCGCCGTCATGGTATAGAGACCCTTAATTTGAGCCCTCTCCCGTCGTTCTATCCCAGTCCCCCACAATTTTGACGCAAAGAATCACCTTACGTAATTACATAAATATATATGACATAGACTACTGAGGTACTTTGAAAGTGTATATAAAATCATATATTTTTGGTATGATAACAGTATTTCAAGTTTAGTTTTATGATTCCAACGGCAATATAAATACCCCGCAGGGGCAAACCTGCAGACTAAGCGAATTTAAATTTATCAGGCTGGATTTCCACTAAAATATTTCTTTGAAATTGTCAATTTATTTCCTATTATAAAAAAAAAACATTAATATTATTGACTACTTGGGTTTGCTGCTACGTGGAAATGTTGATAGCTGTGTATGGAATTAACAATCTTACCAAATTTTATTAAAATACATCCTTGAAAAGCAATCTATAATAGTGCATTTATTCTCCACAATAATAAAATGAGAATTTTAAATTGATTAGTTTTTTTTTGTCTTTTTTCGTGACCAATGGACATACAATACACTAAACTATTTTCTTTTATGAGCTCTACAAAATTTTTTGGAAAGAAACTACGACATTTTATATTTTGAGGATCATAAAGGGTAAAATAATTGTTGCCCCATAAAACTCTCCATACAACCCCGTTTCAGTTACATGTTTGTACCAAACTCCATAAAAATCTGATCATATTTACTCGAGTTAATGTGTTAATTTATATGTATATGTATATCAATTTTCATGGATGGTGTTTCTAACCCTTATGACAATAAAACTTATCGGTCCCGGGTCTAGGTCTTGCCATGATACTTACGGTAATTCCCTATATAGGAAGACAGCCAAAAGTACTACCGCTGCAGAAAACCTGATAATTTGTTTCATGCTTGTTAAAATTATCTTTTGTCATACTGCAGCAAAAAAAATGTTTTATTTCATGCTTTAAAAAGTTGTCTTTTAAAATAAATTAATTCCTCAAAATAACGTAATATTAAACCCCCTTTAAAGTAACCAATGGTTTATTTTCTTACTACTTTTATATTTTCATTTTTATATTTTAACTACTTTTTTTATAAAAATTTATGAAAACATATTATCAAAGCGATAATCAAAATAAGACTTGATTAAATGTGCTAAATGCCAGTAAAAAGAAAGACAACATAAAAATAACATTTTCTAATACACTTCTCCCTCTAAAGCAAAATTGTTATAAAAGGATATGTAGTGGTGCGATTTAATTTTGTTTGTAGAAACAAATTTTTCTTTGTTTGCGTTCTCCTACCGTTGCTTTAATTTATAAATTAGTTTTCCTGCTATACTATGTTTTCTTAGTAACTGCTATTGTCATTTTTAATATAATAACAAAATATTCTTAATGTTAGTCTAATGTGTCTTTAAGGGTTGTCCGTGATCTGATTATACAAATCTAAAATCTAAATTTATAATTTTATTCAAAAACTGTTGAGACACATTTTGTTGACACCTGAAATAAGTGTAAAAAGGTTTAAAAAGGAAGAATCTGTCAAAAAGGCTTCATGTAATTCATTAATGCCTAACAATTTGAGTAAATGGAAAAAATGTTTTGTAAAATATTACTTACTCAGAATTGGGTTCATGTCGACTGGTGAGCAAATTGTAACTACTAGGCAAAGATCTGCGATGCCAGATGTATTGCAGTAGTTTCCCCTTACGTAACCAAATTAATTGGCTGTCAAACAACTTTACCCTAGATCAACGTCAATATCTGTTACAACTGAAAATCGCAAAAAAAAATTTTTTTATAAGATAAAAACCTCATTTCAAAGATCACATAACACCAATTCTTCGATATACAAATTTATTGTCAAATAAATTACCAAATAATAGGACATTCAAGTTTTACAATGTACTATTAGTATCTTTGCAATTGTTGTGTATTTAATGAAATTTTATAAGATACTACTCAAATAAATTGATACTACTGGCTTGGACGGTGGATTCTTTATAAACTCAGATATAAAATAATTAATTAATATAAAATCATGTATCATCAATGTTATATGATCAATAATATAATATCATACAATGTTATGATATCATAAATCAACCAAAAGTGTGTGTCGTAATTTCCAGTTTACTATATGTTCTTTTAGAAACATTCTCTTTTGTTGTTGTTTTAATTTCTTCCGGAGTTAAACACTTCCGGAGCTAGTGTCGAGGAAATTTTGTTCCTAATATTTAAGTGTTAATTTCATTATGTATATTTTAATGTTTGGTTATATAACTAGGGGACAAGTTATTGTTCATTATTATATCGTTTTATTTGGTCAAACAAGGTTTTAAATGACTGAAATAGCAAGAAACAAATTGTATAAACAAAACACGACCTTTATAGTGTACCGGACGGAACTAACAATAAAATTGTCTTCAGCATAAAGATGATAAATCCGCTAATGTTTTTTTTTTACCTCAGAATATCTCAGATATGTTGACTATTAGATAGGCCTACTGATGTAGACATCGTATCCATATGGAACAGCTGTCAAAGTTTTTTTCTTACGAGCATAGTTTTGTTAGCCAGTCACAGAATGCACTAGTGTTTAAAATTCTGTATATTGTTGCTGACATAGTTGATGGGTCATGACAGCTCCTATAGCTCACAATAAGTCAGTCTACCAGTTTGAATTGGTAACGATTTTGCGTATTTAACAGAAATTAGCGTAAATTAGACCAGCACAATCTGTCGGAGGCTCACGTCAACTACGACAGTTTTGATTTAAAAACTGGTGAAAACTTTAACATAGAGATGGACTGTACTGAGTGTTTGGCCTTCGTGACCTATCTTGTATTTTAAATAATCATAGGCCTACACCAAAGAGTCTTTGTTCAATTGAAGTTTTAATTGGTGGTAAGACTTTAGCTAGATTTGACAATATATCACGTTTCAAATCACTATTTTTCGTGCATTTGACGAATTTCTGTTACTTTTAAACTGTAAAAAAATGTATAATTGTTCATTGGGTAGTCTTAATTATGCAGCAGCATCCAATCGCAGATTGGACGACATGTCCATCCTTGAAGTTTAAAAAATAGAGTCCATTTTGTAATATGTTTCTGGGTTGAAAAGAAGAAAGATCCATCGGGCTGATTGGCGTATGTTTTGAAATATTCGTAAACGATATTCAAAAACATGTTTTATGTCTTGGCTGAAAAGTTTTATTTTTGCGTCATATAACATGTCGTAAAATGGTTTTCGGCAAGTTTGAATAAATTAATTGAAAGATTGTTAGTTAATTAAAGATTTCTTACAGTATTTTTTTTTTTTACACGAAAGTTATATTTATATATAGATGAGAATGTTTTTATAATAGCTCCCAAAAAATCAATAAACTTGATAAACTAGTGGGTTAAAACAGTTTAAATATTACCAATATGTCGAATATATGACGTGTATTTTTCATATTTCATTTTTCATCCATGTTGAAAGTAAAGTTAATACACTTTTTATGTTTGCGTGAGCCTTGACGTTCCGATTGCGCATATATTGATTGATATTAGTTTGATCGGCGTTGCTTCAAAGTGACAGCTGTGAGAACAGTTGTGTCAGTAGGAATTTTAAAGTTTTGATAAACAAAAATTATCAAATATTTTCCCGTTGAAACCAATCACAAGAAATAATGTAAAATATATGTTTTTTTTACACAAACTGTTCTAAAACTTAAGGCTCACAAGTTACAATCTCACTATGGTCTTAAAAAAATGTATTTTATACATAACTTAAAAGCTCTATTTAAAGAAAAATCCGAGTATGATTTTTATTTAGTTGTTTAATTTTTTCTTATTAAAAGACCCATATTACTTGTATATTAATACAACAAAAAATAAACGGTATCAGCATTCTGACACATACTTTCTCCCATAAGCTCGTCAAATCAAATCAAATCAGTTTTATTCCACAATATATACCAAATTTACAATTAAAAAAATGGAATACGAATACTGTATATATAGTCTTGAAGCATTATACAGTTCATTGCTTACGTAAAATTAAAGTAAAATTAAATTTACAAAGTTATTAATAGTATAAACTTAAATACTAGTTGAAATATGTTTGCTCCGGCTAGAATAATAACTAATGTAATAATGGAAAGGAGTCTTCATAGACCTCAGTGGTCTATGTGTAGACTCGAGTTGTTAAAAATTATATTTTTTGAGCTAATTTGCAATTATAGAAAAGGTGTTAAAATTAAATAAAAATGTACTATGTTCTATGGGAACGTGATTTAAAGATCATATACAAAGAGGGAGTAAATATTCATAAAATGTGTATCAACAGAATTGTTTTACGGGGAAGCCAATAAATAGAATGGAAAAAATTATGTTGAGTACAACCTTTATCATGGGTAAGCGGTAAGAGTAAATTGCAAAAGTTGCAATAACTTTTGAACCTTAATTGTTACAGCAATGGGGTGTTGTACTATATTTTTTTTTAGAATGATAAGAACCATAACATATTACTTTTGATCAAAACCAACTTTTCTCCAAAAATTAGATTTTTTGATTCTATGTTTTTAATGGGAAAATTACATAAGTTACAATAACTTTTGAACCGTAATTTTTACGGAAATTGGATTTGTACCATTTTGTTCAGAATTTAAAGGACTAAAACATACTCAATTCGTAAAAAATCGTAAAAAGCTCAAACTTGAAAATGTTGACGAAAACAATACTTTCTCCATGGTTTAGGGGAAGAAAGTAAAAATGATTCCTGTTATATTTGGTACCATGAGTTTAAAATTGAAACAAAATTGTATAGATCGTGTCAATTAGGATAGCGTGTGTGGGTTGAATGATGGAAAGGTTCCCAACAACATTGAGAATCACACTATACGCTTGTGTACATTCATTTATAGGTAATTAGTTGATGAGATGGCCGTGCAAAATAACAGAAGTGACGATGGAAGAAGTGTTATTTCGCACACACGCATCCCACTGGCCAATGTAATTCACACGATCTACACTGTGCTAGTTTTGGTCCACCCTGGGGGTCCATTCCCAGTACCCGCCATGTCTGACGAGCCTTCCCCTATCCGCCACCTGGGGAGGCGCCCGATAGGAGACTAGCAACTCCACACGGGAAAAATATGGTAGAGGTGGGCGGAATCATTTCTACAATATTTAACCCTTCTTATTTCAGTTTATAAATTTAAAAAAGTCACAAAGAACGATACCCGCTGTGGAAGGTGGTGCTAGACATGGTACTTTCCAAAGACTTCCTAACTTTTTAGGGTTATTATATAGCACTCTTCCAATAGACAAGAGTAATTTATATTTACAAATAAAAAAGCACACGCAAGGTATAATAGTTCTACTGCTTCCCAAAAGGTATTCTAGTACTATTCCCAAAGATAAAAAATTATAGTAAAATAAGAATCTTGTATTGAGAGACTTTCAGAACAATCATCGTTAAGAAACGTTAACATAAGTGGAAAACGTAATTGATTATTCCCTACCCACCTGATACAGTCCACCTCTAATACTTAACCTAACGTGACTAACCTATACTGCCTATGAAGGTGTAGCCATAGAGATTAGTTATAGTTCTTGGGGTATTTCCAAGAAGAGAGAGTCTGATCAAAATAATGTATATCCTCGAAAATGCATTACTCCTTAATACAATATTCAAACGAACGCTATTAGTGTAATCTCTATAGGCACACCTGTAAATAATATACAGTTGACTATAATATATATTGAAGGCCCAGTTTTAAAATAGTAATATGTACCTTAGTACGTTAGTAAACTGAGTTAATATCCTGACAAACTAAAAGTAAACCATTTAAAAAATATTACATGGAGCCTTTAAAGATTTAATAGTAAATTAATAATATTAAAATTTATAGAATAACCCTTATTACTAAGGCCAAGATACCAGCCTAAACGTATGAAAATTATTATACCTACTAAACCAGACAAAAATCAGTGTAACTAAACCAACCTGTTTTCTTAGTAACGATGCAGAAGTCACAGTAGGTTTCTTAATGTAATATCAACTAAGCTTTGCAGCTATCAAACTCTTTTCACACTATTCACTGTTCCGAAGTTAACAAAAGTATAACATTGTTATATATTTACAAAATATATTTTAATTTTAATTGTATTTCAAGTCACTCTTTAACCATTACCAAGTACTAAGAAATGTCATTTAGTAAAGCCAATTCATAGAATTAATGTCGGCCAATATATTTCCATGTATCCAGGCTAAATTAAAACACGTAAATCTAAGACAAACAAAATTAAATGCTTCCTACCTTTGGTTGGCTTCAGCTGAAATTTGACCGATATGATGTGAACAAAGGCATTTATATGAATTTCGCTTTGGGTTTTCTCCAATGCTTATTTAAGAAACCTTTATATCTTTACAGCTATGTTACTTAAAGCTCCCAGCTATTTATCATGGTATGGCCTACACTATATTTAACCTGTATACACTCCTTTTTTGTTTCCAAAACCAATATACCAATGGACCCATGCATAACCTCCTCTAATACGTATGCCCATGATTTAGCCAAACCCATGTGAAAAATATCTTTTTTATTTCACTTTACTACAAAAAAATTAAGTTAAAACCAAAACTTCAAAAGGTTAATAGCTTAATC